TCCAAGATTTATCTGTATACATGCATTATGTCTTAGAATCCGCAAACTGAGCTCTTGCCCTTGCAAACTAGCTGATCATTCCGAATCATTCCTGTCTTTCATCGCCTGCTACCCTTTGTGACATGCCGCATCCATCAATTGGCATCACTGGTCTTCCGAAATCAAAAGAAAGCGTAAGGCATGCGTAATAGGCAGCGGTAAGGGACAAACATCGTAAGTTTTTCAGCAGCTACAACCGAAAAATGCAGGGAAAAGACAGCTCTGCACCACCAGAACCAGAAGCAAAAGCAGTGCACTGGCTACACTTCTTGGTTGGAGTGTAGAAGCTTGCAGCACCCTTCACCACCCTCTTTGGTGACTTACAGAAACCATGAACTTCTGCATGGAGAAGTCGCTTTGTGATGCGCAAAAGAACCACGTGTTGAATGAAGTGGGCGAGTTGGCAGCATGATATTCACATGACATTCCCATGAGGCATGTTCTAATAATGTTCTAAACACACCAACACCAGTATATGTCATATGGTCGAAGCTAGTAGCAGCAACATGCACCGAATTCACACGTTGACCATTGTGGAAAGCAGGCCCTCGCCCAGCTGAGCAACCCCCCCAGAAAAAGGCAAACAAATAGCGTCACGTTAAACCTCATATCACGTGCTGCCACGCCGTCACGTCGTCCATGTCTCGTAGGCGCAGCGTCTCGGCCTGACCAAGGAGCGTCAGAAGTGTGGGCCTCGGCAGGAGGGGTGAAAGTCATCTGCTTCTGAGTTGCAAATGTCGATTTATTGGTGCCCTACGAATCTGGGACCTCAAAGGATTTTGAGGGTCCGAAGCCCTATGGAGGGCCCAAGGATTCTTAGAGCGATGTGTGGTCAGGTGTAGCGTGATATATGAGGTCAGGTGAGATGTGCACACCCGTTTGTTCTTGTCGAAAAGGAACAAACGTATAAAGGCATAATTATAAAAATCTGTGGTCAACACATGTCAAAACCCTTTGGCATTTGCCTTGTAATCCTTCTTGACTTACGTCTGACATGTCTATCCTAGAGGTTTTGAACGCTGCTCAGGTGGGGATAGGGGAGAAAATGGAGAAGAGACAACCACTTCGAGTTGAGTATCAAATGCCGCAATACCAAGAGAGGTTACAGTATGACCTGAAAGGGACCCACTTATACTGGGTGCTTTTCTGGGATACCTATGGCATAGTCGGATAGTCGGATGGGCCTAAGTCCACAGGGTGGACTCAGCCTTTGGCACTTCAAAGGCGGATCGGTGTACCACGGTGGACCCAAGAGGGTCGCATGGCTGGCTTAGCATTGCTAAAGAGGTCGAACAGAGCTGGCAGCGTCACTTTGGCAAGAAGACCTGGAGTCTCAAAGGTTCTCGGACCATGAGTGCAAGCACATAAAAGTACCTATTTTCATTGGGTCATTTTCCATTTCCAAGGTACTTTGGAGGGTCCAGGTATGCTGCTTGCGGCATCACCTGCCTGCAGATCTTTCATTTAGCACTGTGCAAGGGTTTCAATCCAGAGGAATATGGGAGGAACTAATTCTGTACCTGAGATGAACAAGACTACTCCCAGGACCCTCGAACAGGCTGCCACCTGCGACTTTTTAGTCTGCAAAAGCCTCCATTTCCCTTTTGGAGAGTGCTGGTCTACAGCTCCAACATTGACATGACCACCTTCTACACGAAGCGGCTCTACCTGTGACATACGACTGGCTAGTCGTAGTGTAGATCTGTTGGACATCTGCCTGGTGAACCAGTGAGAACATGTAAGAACTTCGTTTGTTTAAAAACAATAGGTCGCAGCCGACGTTGTATTTCAATAACATGTGAGCAACTGGTAGGTGTAGTATTAACTGTTCTGCTTCGGAATTTGATGTGATAACAGGGTCCAGGGTGCTAAATCACATCAATTTTCCGGATGCGTCTTCAGCTCTGTTCGCCCGTCACGGCATGCGTCCATGACATTAAATGGCATGGTTGGTACCAGTAGATTCTTTCCGGTTGCTTGTTCCAAAACCCAGACACGACCCATACGGGACCGCCAACTTTTTGCCTACTTTCGGTTGGTTTAGGGGGAGCATATGTGGACAATGTATAGGCACATTTTCCAGTCCCAGTGTCTGAGCTTGAGTGGGAGCATCTACCTCCTTGGTCCAATGACCAGTTCATACGACCACTCTTTGTATAAAGGGGCGCTAAGAATCCGGGCTTGGTTCGGGTCCGACCCCTTGCCATGGAGGTCCCAAGGATTCTGAAAAAGTAACTCAAGCCACCTGCTGGATGGACCATAAGACCTCTGCCAGGTCCAAAACGTTGGACCTCGAGTCACCTTCCATCAGCGACCGCTGCGTGAGGCGCATCGCTCGAATAGACTGACCGATCCGACCCTTCCACCAAACTGACTGCCCCGGTGCTTCGTTGCTGTTCAAAAGCGGTGCTCTGCCGTGCCGTGCCTCGCCGCAAGATTTTATAGTAGCTTCTTGTTACTAGTAGTAAGGCCAGGAGCCCCGTTCGTAGCGTCCTTGCTCCGTTCGTAGCGATGCCCTTTGTTACTAGTAGCGATGCCCTTGCCCTCGGAAGTCTGGCAGTGGAAACCTCCGCAGGATGAAGTCCTGTCGTCTGACGCTCTCTGTCGACGTCCGATTGATTTCGTGTGCCGAGGCACACCAAAGCTTTCCAACGACGACGCAGTACGGCCATGGCGTGGTAGCGAAGTGGTACGGGAGTCGAAGTGGTGGGACGTGCTAGTTGTGAGGGTCAAAACCATGTCAAAACCCTAGCCAGGTCGGGGTCATTTTGCCAATGGTCGGTTATCTTTCTGGTTTGGGGGTCAGGATGGAGTATTTAGTGTGCATGCATTTTGGTCTGCAGCAGATTGATGGAGGGTGCTAGGTGGAAGACAGAGAGTTGCGCTAAACCATTTCAGTTCGCAGATCTGGCAACGGTTTTACAGTATAATTTGTTGGGCGCTCAAGTATCGATTTTTCAGAGTGACCACTCGCCACTGAGGGTCTGTTGCGGTTTCGCATGAGTGTCTTTTGGGGTGTCCTCCCCTCCATCAACCCATGGGTTTTGCTCTCAAAATGATCTGTGTCCACAAGTGTCCGCACCAGTTGATGATTTCCCGAATTGGCTGGAATGATCTGCTCAGCTGCTAAGCTCCAATCAGTGGCAAGTCCTGTTGGAGGCTGTTTGTGTTGTCAGTCCTTCCAACTCATCCAACACCTTGTGTGATCAAGCTGTCAGGGGAAGATACAAGTCCTCGTGGCCGCGGGGAATCCTGATTTGGTACCTTTGGATGCGACCAAGAAACACAAATCAGTGACAAACAAGTGTGTGATTCGTGACACTAAACTTACTCTCCCGCAAACTAACATGGAACCTGAGAATTGACCAGTGGAAGACCATTTTCCTCTACAAACCAGTGGTTTTGGGGTTCCATGTGGTCCTCTGCGGGGGAGTAACCCAAAGGATTGAAAAAAACGATGGGTGTGACGCATGTTCTTCACAAACACCGTCCGTCAACACCGTCGGAGACTCAGTCCACAATGGACTTAAAGCTACCGTGACGGCTTTGTGTTCTTCCGCGGGTTGCTTGCTTGTCACCATGAGAAATCCACATCCATCAAAGAACATCTACCACCAGTTGCCACGTGGGCATTGAAGACCGGAACCATCGTGACAGCAGCGACGAGGGGGGACCACATCCCCCAAAAAGAAGGGTCTGAACTGAAATAAAAGGAAGGATATCAAAGGACATGCCGAGTTGATGCCGGAAACTTGTTTGGTTCTTCGCAAGAATGGGTGGAACCCATCCAAAGACCAGAACCCTTATATATATAATATCTAGTATCCCATTACTCAATTTCATGTTCCATAATATTCCTGCAACAGCATACTGCAGTAAATAATTGATGAAGGGAAGTTGCGGGTCATGGGATACCCTCACACGCAGTGTCTCAGTCAGAACTTAGGGTCACGGATTACTTTTGGTCACTCAAAGGTGATCCTCAGCAACTAGACAGTTTTCATCAGAAGACTTAGGATCACTTTGATCCAGCAAAACTTGAGAGAGGAGGGGGGTGAACGAAAGGTAGCAGGGAATCAGGCGTAATCCGGGAGGAGGTGAGAGGCCCCCCACTTGTTTGAAGAGAAGCGAGTGAGCGTGATGAAAGAACAACTAATGCACAAACGCTTGACAAAACCTCCAGAAGCTGTAGCGGTCTAGCGGTTTCAATACAGGTTGACGTGCCTTCAAAAGGAGTCACATATTTCTCAAATGCAACTTCGGATTTACATAGTGACGTGCGGCGACCCTTTAAATTGCGTGGCCGCAGGCCATGCTTGCAAACAGGACGTGCTCAAAAACACTGGTATTTACGAGGTTTCGTTGCCGTCGATCCACAGCCGCGGCAAGGTCTAAGGCCACGCTTGAAGACAGGAGGAGCTGAAAACACTGGTATTTACGGTATTTTGTAGCCGTCGATCCAAAGGCGCACCACGGTTGAGCGCTGGAAAAGCGCAGAAAACCGTGTAAATACCAGCGTTTTCTGCCGGGAAGGTGCACAAAACCCTGTAAATACCATAGTTTTGTGCAATTTTGAAGCCTCCAAAAGCCTCAAAAACCCTTTCTGACAAAATCTTTCCTGGTTTTTGGTCTTTTTTTGGTCATTTTTCTAACCGAGGCGCATCAAAAACCATCAGAAGACTTAGGATCACTTTGATCCAGCAAAACAAGTGTCGGCCACGAACGAATCGTGAGCGGTGACGTAGAGAAGGGTCCATCTCCATACGTCCAATCTTTGGTGGGTCTTTTTAGCCAAACCTCCCAACATATTTATAGGTGTTCAACCAAATCAATCTTGATACATCCATATCTATAGAGCGCATTATATAGAGTGAATATGAGTGAATACGAGTTCAAATATGTCAAAACATCACCCAAATGGGGAGTCCCCTCAATGCCGCTTCGCTCCGTGTCATCCTCGCCTGCTCCAAGTGAGGTCGCAGTGGAGCCTCGGTCCATCACGTAGTGGCCGTATGGGCGGCCGGGTCATGGCTGTTCTACCTGAGGTTGTGTAAAAACCTCTCTACCTTTCCCTATACCACTTTTGACGTTCCTGATCGTTTTACAGCATGTTGACTAACTGCAACAAACGTAGTATAAAGTAGTGTGTGCACTACATGCATGTGGTGTGTGGAACCTTGCAGGCATGAAGACATTGGGCACACTTCATTCCAACTACACCCATGTGGTGGCCGGCCTGCGGAAAGGTGTTTTAGGCATGCTGTGTTATCGCTTTGTTATCGTTTTCATGCCTGGCGCAAGGTGGAAAACCATGTGGCACAGCAATGCTGTGGCACAAGACTACAGCAGTCCAAGCCCTCCCACCTCTGTCCAAGCACATACCCACCAAGAGCAGTCATGCATTGACCCTGACAATTTGGAACAGTAGTAGGCTTTCTGTTTGTGTGTGCCCACGCGTTTTCTTCACACCACTTCTCGCATGTAAGGGTTTTCCACAAGAGTCATCGGGGGTGATCGTGCTTTTTCTTCCTGATCGTTTTACAGGGGATTGGACATGCTTCCAGAAAAACGGACATGCGAATGAATACTCTCTCACCTGGAGCTCGTCCTGGTCCCTGGGGCTCGTCTTGGACACCTCCACCTCTATGTCAACCTCTGACTGGTGTGATGTTGAAGGGAAGGAGATGGAATGAGGGCCTGGTCGTTTTGGGCTCATTCGCCCCAGCGACAGGTCGTCTGGGAAACTCTGGGCAGCCAGTCCAGTTCCATTGGGAGTGCTCTGGGATGTATCAAAGAGAGAAGCTACTGCTAGTAGTAACAGGTGCCTTACTAGTAGTAACAAGAAGCTATTAGAATTTATTTTAAGAGAGACTGTACATGGGAAGTTACTTGACACATTTCTTTGGCACTGTCGAGCTGCTCTATAGCATTCTATAGCCATACATGAACCTTTAATTTAGCACAGGATGATCATGTGGTACCTTGAAGCGTTCAACAAATAAGATCTTATCATGGTCTACATCGCCCACATGTTTAAATACTCTCGGCAAATGAGAAAAAGGCTACCTGTGCCCATGCCTTCCAAGATTGTCAAACAAAATCAACAAAAACACGCATAAAAAATACCAGGACCCTCCAAGCAATGGACTACCCCACACTACCTATCGGCTTCCATTGGGCACCCCTTGGAGGGTCCTGCTAGACTAACACAATAATTACAGTAAACTAACGTCTTGTGTGTTAAATGCTGTTCAAGCATCGACTTACTCATCAGGAACCGTACAAAAAGGGAACACGATCGATCCACCATAGATGTCGTTGGATCCACAAGTGTTCACCCGGACATCGTTCGACGGACGGGACGGACGGCCGGAATCAGACGAGACGTCGACGGTCGGAATGGACGGTTGTAACCTGAAGAGGCCTTGTTGGTTAATCTTTCCAGAGAACCTCCAGATCCTGAAATGGGTGTTCAACTCCAGATTAGGCAAGGGTCCAAGAAGTACCACAGTTCCCTGCTCCCTGACATCAGATCGACTCAAAACCCCTTTTCCGCGAACGACATCGTCGGTAGGTCAATTTTCAGGTGTACCCTGGTTCTGAATGCCAAACTTTTTCCCAAATGACCATCAGTCAAACCTCTTCCACCAAACCAACGGATAATTGACATCCCTGAATAGACTTCTGTAGAGGAATCTATTAATTTTAGGTGGTCAACCAGAGTGCCAAGGTCACCGCCCACCGGGCATCGGTCTGGGCATCCCCACGCGGCTCGCCGGGAGCTGCATGGGCGCCGCCCAGTGACGGCTAGTCTCGGGGGCCTCATGCGTGGTCAGGAGCCAACCAGGGGAGACCCCGAAAAAGGACCCAGCAGATTGGAATACCCTTAGGGGACAAATGAGGTCCAGCTCAGCTGAGTGGAAGAATCAAAGGTTCCTCAAATGGGAGTCGACGATGGGTGTATCAGAAGCCTTCTCCCAAAGTAAACCAAGTGTCACTCCCTTGGGCCTGTGTTGGCCTTCAGAAAGCTGAAAAAATGAGACGCGCCTCACGCCTCGCTGCCGGAATGACGATGATGTGGAGAATGTGTTGTAGATCTGCTATTTTATGGATGTTGGTAGGTGATGGTAGGTGTGGCCCTGTGCTCTTGAAACAAGTGCTCCCAGCGTTGGAGCTATGGGTAAAGCAACACCATGACCCTGGGAGAAGCTTGTGGGCAGCTCCGTACTAAAAACAGGTCGACCTTGGGAGAATGTTTGTTTTCTCTAGGTTTCTCTTTGAAGGGAACATCTTTGTCTACACATCTGGCCGACGTGGGACCAACGAACCTACCGGCATGTCTGCATGCCGGTCCCGTTTTGTGGTCTGTCGCCTGAAGCAGCTCCGAACCAAGGCTGGAGAACTCCAAAAAGGACCAAGTATGCTCCTCCCACCACGGTGCTGAGATGTGCTACGCGGTAGAGGTGCAACGCGTTCTGCGGTATTTATATACGCGCGGGGTAGAACCAAGAAGCAGGAAGAGGTGATCTCTTGACGATCCAAGTTGAGTGCATGGGACAGAATGGGAGGACACAAAGTAAACAGCTCTTAGAGCAACTAACTATATATATGTGGTTCAACAAATGGTTGTTTTAATCAAAAAGTTCCGTGTACATTAATACCTAAATAGCTTAAGGTGGCACCCCACTACAGTCAGCATTGCAATGAGTGGTGTGGCTTGGGTCCAAATAAACACCCTGCAAGTTGGAGGATAGCAAAAAGTTCTTGCCATGTCAAGTCGAAAACAACGCCACCTCAATCGGCAAAAAAAAGGCCAGCCACATGTCAATCAATGTAAAGTTATATCAAACATGGTCTTAAGCTAATCATGTCAATCCATTGGGACCTCAATCAACTTAGTTGACCTAGCATGTCTGCATCATATATCGCTCTCTGATCTCCTCCCTATCAGCCTTTTAAACCTCGCAAATAAACATTGAACCTACCAGGACCCTCCAAGGGGTGCCCAATGGAAGCCTATAGGTAGTGTGGGGTAGTCCATTGGACACCCCTTGGAGGGTCCTGGTAGACTTCTTCATGAACACATCATACAAAAAAGATCAAAAAAGAAAACGAAGGCCGTCAACCTCGCTTGGTGGTCGATCTTCCATCCATATCCATCCATCTCATGTTGTGGGTGGCTTCGGTGGTTGCCAATTGTTTCCAGGACACCGAGTCGACATCGAATGGAGCTGTTCAATCAAACACTCAGGCCGGTGTATCTTCTTGGTGTTTAAGCTTTACGAAGCATGTCATACCTGCCTTTCGGTGCTTTTCATGGCATACCTCGCTCCGTCCACTCCTGAAGCCTCGCTGGGTCCGGTCATGTCATGCGCTCCTTGAAGCCTCGCCACCAGCGCACGAGCTCTAAAGGGACCTCGCCACCGGGGGAGAAGCCGCGTCACGGACGGTTCAGCTGCATCGTGGAAGCCCCCCAACATCTCAGACAAGCGGGTAGTCATTCTGGAGAGTTCTGGAGTCATTCAATCATCCAAAGCCCAAGAAGATTTAATAAGCAACAATTAAATAGATCATTAACTTTGGGATCATAAAAAGAATCGAAGTTTCGTCCCTTCATTTCACCATCCATGGATCCTTGGTGTAAATATAGATGTATTTCGTAAAAATCTTTGCCCCCGCCCCCCCACAAAAAAACATCACAACAGGAGTAAACACGTTGGATTTAGAAATGCAGACCTCTCCCGCCTTCAATTGGATTCACATTGTTTCCCTTCACTTTCCGACCCGGAAGGCCCAGCAAAACACGGATGATCCAGGCAGCAGGGCGATCTGGGCTTGGGGGGGATCTGTATGTGGACTGCTGTTTCACTCAGCTCCAAAACAAATCGCATCAAAGAACTAGACTGTGTCACAATATGAAGCTACTGCTCTGATTCATGGTGTTTGGGCTTTGGGCGCCACAAGGATGTATGTTAGCTCTGCGGCTCTGAGTCTGTGGCATTCACCAAAATGGACTCCAACCTGGCGGAGCACAAAGGAGGAGATGGGAGCACAAAGGAGCACATGCTGCTGCTTTTTGTGGTTGGACACCGCAAATTGGAACCTCCCTCTTCACCTAGAAGTTGGAATGATGGTCAATAGGATCTTCCACCTTTGGTTCGCAGGAATCGCCTCTTCTTCCCGTTCCAAGTGACAGAATCCTCAGGTTCGGTTTGCTCAGTGTGTTGCGAAGGTCAAATCCTCTCTACGTACTGTGCAGGGAGATCATAAAAACTTGCTCACAGTGTTCCAGCGGCAGGTCTTCAAGTTGCTGAGGGATGCCCAAAACAGCCCAAAACTGACTTATGACGTATGACGATCTTCTGAAATCGGTTTTGGTGCCAGGGTGTTGGAGGGCAATCCCCATCTCAACGACTAATTTTGTGATCATCTCTTGAAATACAAACCAAACACCAAACCAAACAACACCTGCTAAAAACACTCCGACACAAATTGAATGGAAGCGGACATTCACTGTCTGAAAACAGTAAAAAGGAACACAGTCACTCTTACAAGCGGCCATGTCATTCACTCACTTCCATGTTAGCCAAAGTGTGTGCCATTTGATGCCCACTGATCAACCGATGGTTCTTAAAGTTTCAAAGTACAAAAACGATCAAAGGTCCCCAAATCCAGACACTCCATGTATGGAATATATGCCCACATTGACCCCTTTTCAACCACCCCAAGGTAGGAAAAAATGGCCAGTCCCATGGGTCGTGTCTGGGAAATAGATATTGGCAAGGGTGGGGATCTTCTGGGGACCACTATAAACAAGTCCTTGCCAGCCCATGGTGTCAACATGTGTCAACCAATGCGGTGTCAACCGGTGCCTCAAGGTCGCCCATTGTGTTTCCATCTGCAGTTGCAGTGAATAACCCCCCCAAACTCCAGCCAAAAGAAACACAACAATTACAGTAGATGCCAACAAAGAGCAATAAACATACACAAGATTGCAACTGGTACAGTAACATTAACATACAGTAACCACAGAAGGTTTCAACGGTTCCAATCCAATTATTACCACCACTTACACTCCCAGAAACAATCATGCAAGTGAACCATGGCTCTTGAATGACAGGTGGCAAACTCCACTTCTCGATGATTCATGTACTTATCCATGGCGTCTGATTCTCCACGACCTGCGCTGATCATCCCCATCATTCCCCCCCTCCAAAGGCCCGACCGAAGCGGTTCCTCCTCGCGACCCAAGGCTCGAGTCCTGCGAACGGCTGTTCCACTCGGTTCCAACCTGCCTCACTCCAATGAGCTTCTCCGGTTCCCAAAGCAGCATCATCTGCAAGCCTCGGGTGTCCACCTCGGGAACCGCGCCAACGACCGCTTTCGGCGGCCTCCGCCTCTCCGCTTCTCCGCCCCGAGCCCGCGACAGCCGCGATAGCCGCGATACCGCGGCGTTCGCAAGAGCTTCTGAGATTCTGCTCCAAACGAAAAACGGAGTCTTTTTTGGATTCTCAGCTGTCTCATGCTGTCTCAAAAGGTCAAGACCATGTGTCACAAGTCACAAGGTGTCACGAGCTGTCACGGTGTCACGAGCTGTCACGAAGTTCAGGTTGTTTCCAAATCGTTCACAGTCGTTCAAACGATTTCACTGATTTCAGCATGTTTCACAAGGGTTTCAAGATGGCTGGCTCCAACTCATGGACCAAACAGGAACATGGGCTCCATCAATCGACCGGCATGCCGACCGGCTCCAAGAAGAACCCATGCCAGCACACATCAGTTGTGATCACCGAGTCACCTCCTACCCACCTCCTACCACCTCCTACCCACCTCCCTGCCACGGCTTTTTGCACTTAAGGAAACAACCGCCCATCGACCCGGATTCGACGTCACCGGGTGGGACGGGGACGGCTTGCGACGGATCCGTTGCTCGTGCGTGTCTCAACCGGCCCAGGGATGGGACGCCGCACCAGTTGTCCTTCCACTGTTTCGCCCCGGGCCAACGCTTGCAACCTGAGCGATCTTTCGGTCGATGGGGCGCGGATTTCCGCCGCGGTGTATATGGGTTGGTGGTGGGGCGCTGAAAGCGTTCCTTCCTTGCGGGACGAAGAAAAGGTGGATAGCCGTTTGGGGTGTTGAAGGAGGTAGGTTTGGGGGTAGGTTTGGATGGTCTGCCTTCTGAGAAAGGTCAGTTCTTGGAGCCCCCCGTTCTTGGGGGCATGAAGGTCCGAACATTCGGAAGGAGAGTGGACATTGTTCGTGGACTGATGTTGCTGGTGAGTTTTCCGGAGGTAGGGTGACTGTATTCTAGAGCAATGATTGTTAATCCCTGAACCAGAAAAACTCAGAAAGTCATGTAGCTGGTGAGCAGAAATCAAGACGCCTGAGACGTTTGGATGGTTTGGAGGCGTTCATTTCAGGATGATCTCTGTGAACAGGTGTGGAAACAAATCTTCAAGATCAGGCGATGAAGCTTCATCTGCAGAGGCTTTGCAGGAGGCAGATCCTGAAGGCTTTAAAGACCTGAGTCAGGTCGATCGACCTGAAGGAAGTGTGAACAAACAACGATGAAGGACGCGGAAATCTAGAGGGGGTCATCTTCATTTCAAGCGAACGACTTCGAAAGGTTCCTGTGCCATGTCACCTGCACTCTGCTCGGTACTTTTACCATGGAAGAATAGATTAAAGATCTGTGGGAGTCTGTGGGAATATATACCAACTGGATAGGCCGGCCAATCACCTCAAGCATCTAGACTTCTATCATCTTCTATATATTATTACTTTGATATCTTTGATCTAGAATTATGACTCATGACTCCCTATCTGTTAAACACCAAGGACACTCACCCCTTGCTCGTTCTCCTTCCAGCCTTCTCCCGTCTGCCTCTTCCCGTCCGCTTCCCGTCCTTCCCTCAAACCCCCGGGCGCGGTGGTCTCCGCATGCTCCGGCGAGATGAGCCGCTCCACGGGCGACTGAGGCGCGCGCGACTCGCAAAACGCGAGGCGCGGTCAACCGTCAACCCGGTGGGGGCGGACGGGTGTTCCGGTTTGGGGTGCGGAAGGAACGGATTGGTACGGTGCGGAAGCCGGAACGGATCGAAGGATCGGATGCGGATCGGACGAAGAATCGGACGGAGAATCGGGACGTCCACGGCGACGGAGTGTCGACGACGATCCTCAGCCGTTTGGTCTGGGCGCCTTCGTAGCGGGTATAGCGAATGTACGAGGTGAACAGATCGCACATGAATTGACCATACTAATTTGGACTCCGGGCCATCCCCATTCACAGCTTGTCGGTCTATGCCAATCATTGAGGGTGGCATTGGAACCACAGGGTAGATTTATACATTTTCTCTATGTTGAGGATGCATTTAACAGTTGCACCGACCGAAGTGCGAAATGAAGGAGTACGACTATTGACTTGCGCGGTCCCCCTGGGGAAGCAATGGAATATGCGTAAAAGCGTGCCAGGTTTGGAGCGTTCTGCCCACTACTTTCTTAGATATATAGCATGCTTAGACATATAATGATAGTAGTATGGATTTCAGTGCTTGGGGAATGTGACCTTTTATACGTGTGCAAAACGGCTGGGTGGTCTTTAGCCTTAGTTACCTTACTTTGAAATTTACACGGTCAAAGTCAAAGTCGGACAAGTCAAGTGCTCTCACCAGTCTGTCCAGTAGACTCCAAAGACTTAAAGAGAGAACCGCACACCGAACACCCTGAGCCATCTTCACTGCTGAGTTCTTTTTGACACTTCGCGATCCACGAGGTCAGTGGACGTTACAGTTGACGGTGAACAGCCCCGAAAATTTGGCATTCACTGCCAAGGATCCGTCCTGGTGATCATAAGCTTTTCGAAAGCATCACCATCCTAACTCAACCCGTAAAACAACAGACTAGACTACAGTCTAGAATAGACTTGAAGACTTGACGACCATTTAAAATTGAACTGAAGCCTTGAAGCCTGAAGTGCATCCATCAAAAGTGAAACTGCACCTGAGCTTCACCAGAAACTAGGACCCTTGATGCGCATCTAAGCGAATGCGACCATACCCCAAAAAGCTTCTAAGCTAATCCTAGCCAAGCTCAAGAGCCCACGTCACGAGTCACGGGACTTTGCCTTTTTGAGCGGGCCCTGCACAAAGTCCATGATGGTCGCCGTCGTGCCACCTTTCCTTGGATGGGCGGCTGTGAACGACCCCATTTGGTTGAACCAAACAGCACTACCAAAAAAATCAAAACAAACAATCGGAACTATCGGAATAATAAGGATCAAAAACAAGATTCCGATTCTATACAGACAAAAAACACATCAACCATAAACATATTGTGGGTTTCAATATTGAATACAAAGAATCGAACTGCTTGCTTTCTCACGTTTCCTGCTGCTTGGTGTTGTTTTCGAATCCTTGTTGTCTTTGCCTTTGGTTTCTTTCTTCTCTTTCTCCTTCTCCCTCTTCTCCTTATCAGCCTTCTCCTTTTCCTTCCTCTCCTTCTCCTTCTCCTTCTTTTCTTTTGCGGTTTTCTTTTGAGCATCCTGTGATGCTGCCATGGCTGCCTTGAAATCACCTACGGTCTTTGCCTTCTTCGGTGGGGTTGGGGGGCTGCTATTCTCCAATTGTGGGGCTACTTCCTTCTTCCCCACGCTCTCCTCGACCTGGTTGGGCGACTTCTGCGGCTCCTTGTTATGCTGCTCCGACTCCTCCATTGTATGGCCCTCCTGGGGCACTGCCGTTTCTTTTGGTGCCACAGCAGGCGGCTGCGGCTCAGCGGAATTCTCACGACCCACAAGAGACTGCGGGTGAGGTTCACCTTCTTTCGGAGAGGCCAAGGGATCCTGAGATGGAACACGCATCGCAGTCACGGAGGTCAAAGTTCATGAACCAAACAAACTTCAACCATAACAAGAGCAGCAACAAAAGCAGCTCAGCAGGAACAACAGGATGAAAACAACCAGGCGGCGCCGCCATCGGCTGACTGCGCAGCGGTCTGTTCCTGTGCACATTCACTTGGCTGTGGTTGCTTGTCAGACAGCCCTCCATCCTGGCAGCAGGACAGGACAAATAAAAACATGATTGATTAATTTGAAACTTTGAGCACAGGCTGGCAGACTGAACTGAAACACAAACTAAACTAAAAAAACATCTTTGCCTGCGCGCCGTCTGATTGCACGGGAGCTGTAGCTGCAGTCTCCACTACCTGCGATTCCTCCACAGGAGCTGTAGGCGTAGGCGCCGCTGCCTGCAGAGGTTCTGATTCCACAGGAGCTGTAGGACCCACTGCCTGCGGAACTTCTGGTTCCACAGCTTCCACACGAGCTGTAGCAGCCTCCACTGCCGCCACTGCCTGCGGAACTTCTGGTTCCACAGCTTCCACACGAGCTG